AGGCCGCATGACCGGGATGCTCATCAACTGAAGGTTGGGTTGCGGGAAAGGTATTTCGGGAGCTCGTGAATAGGGGCGAGCCGCCAACATCCGTTCCCAGAAAGATTTCGGCGCTGTCATCCGGAGAAGGCGATCCCGAATAAGCCTGACGCGTCTCCGATGGCAGCCGTACTTTGCTGTCTTCTCCATGGATGGTCAAATCTGATGGGCATGCAGCGACTAATTGATGCTCAGGTTTGAAATGTCTAATGTCTTCAGGAGAAGGTTTCTTCCAGTCCGTGGAAGGCGTGTCGTAAATTAGATGATCGATGGCTGAGGCCTTTGGGGGCGCAGCACCAGGCGAACTGTTGTGCTTCTTGGGGGGTGTCAAAGGGCGCTGATCGACCTGCGAGGACCTCCTCTTGCGCGAGCTCGAATGAGACGCGTCTCTAACGGGGCTGAGGCAATTAGCAGGGGATGCCGGCGATTTCGTCCCCGTGAGATTTGGCTGGTGCACAAGGGACCCGGACATCTTGTGTGCATGTGAGCTTGACCCACAGTTTCCACTTGGGGCAACTGGCTCGAGCTCGAACGATGGTGAGCATTTCGTAAAGCCGCTTGGCTTCTGTTGCAGGCTGGGATGTCGCGCAGAGCCAGACGATTGTTGTAGCTTGGTAGCACCCGTGGCGGGCGGGATGCTAGATTTGGGAAGATCGAAAGAGCGAGATTGAGCTATCAAGTCTGCTGACTGCTGTAGGATGTGATCTCTCATGAGTTCGCATTGTCGCAGTGAGTTCCGCAGATGTTCGACTGTGGCCTGACTGACGATTGGATAAGCTACAAATAGGAAGGACGGACGTTTGTTGTGAACGCGAGGCGGTGGGGTTAGGAAAATTGTATATAAATAAGATTAACGCAAGTGGCTTGACTGACCTTCAAAATCTATTGGTTTGAATGGAACAATAGGAGTTCCAGATTGTGGGGGGTCCATCTAAAGTTACAGGTATTAGGTTGGGTGAAGTGAAGGAAGCAAGGTGTGCAGTGAGCCTCTTTTTTGTCTTTTTTCTGTGGATTGATGAGATGCTCTGTCATGGAACAAAAAGCAGGGTAATCCAGCCCTGGATCTGATTGGGTTTTTCAGATCATGAGATAGTTCTATGTTTGAAAGCTGAAGGAAAGGGTGAGGTGCTGCGAGAGGGGGGAGAGGGAGGGATGGGCTGCTCTTAAGTCAATGGTGCTGAGAGAGCTCTCAGATGAAGACTATGATGGGCAGCCTTGGGATGGGAAGTTTCTCTCAATTTGCAATTTCAGATTGCTCAGCTTGTGGTCAGTGTGTGTGTGTGTGTGTGTGACTGTCTCAAATGGGAATCAGACTGGCTGTATTGTGGTGACTGAAAAAGGAATCTGCATGTACATGTAGCCTGTAAGACAGACGGAAATCAGAGACTTGTGATATGTACAGTTTTACAGCTGAAGAATGAATTTGGAGTGCCAACCCAGTGGGACAGCAGCCGTATTTGGATGACTGTATCGTTGGTCGTAAACGATCAACAAACAAGGGTCGATGGGGGGAGCGAGGTGAAGCGAGTTCCGGAACCGGCGTTCTGGAGGATCGCCTTATGATGATTGCTTTGACAAAAGAACAGCTTCGGATGGATCTATGGATAGGCCGAGTTGGAGGAAGAAAGCTGCCAGGGGAAGTGGAGGGAGGAAGTCTGGATGGATGGACTCTGGTGGTTTTTGAGGACCAGAGCAGAGTGTTGAAGCTGTTCCGGTAGAAGTAATAGGTCATCGTTGGTCATGCGGCCCTTGTTGGCTGATTCAGTGGATTGAAGGCACGATCTGCCGAGTGCAACGAATTAAAGGGGATCTGTCCGTCGATCGGATTAAAGATGGTGATCAATGTGATGATGACTTTCAAGCTGCCTCCCTGCCAATAACCTGGGCCGCTCACTACACAAATTGGCCGAATCGAGATCAGATTTATCACCACCACCACCACCACCACCATCACCAAATCTCATTCTCAGATGCCATTCAGACTGAGGAAGAAAGGCAAAAGATGATCATGGAAGAAAAACCAAAACAAAATGAACCAAAGCCAACGAAAACGAACACGAAAACGAAAATGGGTCGGGTCAATGGATAAAAGTAAAGGCTCGCTAGGTTTCATGTATCCACCAAGGCTCCAAGCCTCCAAGTCATTAATAACTAAAAATGAAAGAAAGAAGGGTCTGTTGACCACCAGTCAAGGACGGTGGACTTAAAATCGGGTTGAGAACACAACGTCCACCGACTCGTTCGCTTCATCCTGAACATCAGCGTACCAGTCCACTGTCCATGGCCAATTTGCGGGGCTGCACGGTGGGTGGTGCTACTATCATTTTGTTTTACTAATGAAAACCAGGTCGACCTGGTGGACGAGCTGACAATCAATCCATGACCGATCCACCGCGGAAGCACTCTGAGATTGGGCTATATCCCTGGCCCGGGAGTGGCCGAGCGGCGAGCGCTGGCCGAGCGAAACATGGCCGGCTATCACAACAGGCTTCTGTATTAAAGCTCTAGCTGAACGAAGCCTTGTAAATTGAATCAACTCACAGACCGCAGGTTAGTAACCCTTGGTGAATCCAGGAAGTTTGGAAGAATATGATGAGGGACATGATTGGCAATGGCATGCCCAAGCTTTGCCCAAACCACTGGGGGTCCACTCATGATGCTGTAGCAATTGAGCAGCACTGCCACCACACCATTTCACCACTTCCCCCAACCAGCGCTGGGTACAATATAGGGTGGAGCATGTGCTGGATTGGCCCATGAACATCCATTCCCCAATGAGGCTTGGGTTCATAAGGTTGGTCCTTCTTTTTCTTGCCAGTTGTCCTAGTGGGAAATGTCAGCTCTGCCTCTGGTCTCTTATGTGACCAAGAGTTGATAGGGTATTGGGTCACACTATAGCCAAAGAGTGGCCAGTGGAAATAAGCCCAACTCAACACTTGTAAAGTGGAGGGGCTAGCTCCTTATAAGAATAAGGGACAACTGTGGGATGAGCTTCACAGTGCCTGAGCTTTTGAGAATATAAGAGAAAAGGGTTGTTAATAGTCTATAAAGTTGAACACTTAACTTATATAGACTAGTGATAATAATAAGAGGAAAGTACACTGGTTAAACTAACAATAAACAACTTAAAACCCCACTCACTATTTATATGTATTATAGTAAGGTTCTTGGGTTTGTATGGTAATAATTGCCTGGGGGATGAATCTCAGGGAAAGAGTCATCCCCTTGAATATTACAAAGCAGGGGCCAAACTGCTGCCAGGACCGGTGCAGTCCCCATATTGTTACACTATTCCTTTGGGGGAAAGTGTCGAGATATTCAAACATTCAAATGTACATGTGTTGAATATCTCTCTTATTTCAGAAAATAGAATTACATATGTAGAATATTTCTCTTATTTCAGAAGATACACAAGAGAGATACACAAGAGAGATAAACAGGATGATAATCACTTGGATAAACACAAGAGATAATCATCCTTTGCAATTTGATTATTACTTTCATGAGAGAGGTACATTAATTATCCAGAGAGAGAGATAAATATGTACATAGGTAAATCATTATTGATTTATAGAATAACATTAAATAAATACTTATCAATTTAAAGAATACATGTCATAATGTTTATTATTATGTAACATGGAGGGGTTACAATCTCATGTAGACACATGGACTAGTGTCTCAGTGTCTGACAGGAAATCCTCAGGGGTACTTATGTCAAGCAGATGGTTTTTTTTGGGTAGTCCAATATATGTAGACCCCAACACCCCAAGAATCAAGAAAACATATGAAGTTCTCACTTCCAACCTTTTGGGTGTCCATACACCACGGGTTCTGGTGGACAAGTGCTTGACAGAAGCGGTTCTGTCAGCTTGACCCATGCTGCCCCAACCAAAATTTTGGGGTGCGTCATCCTCATAGCGGGGGGTGTACAGTTGTGCATGTCATTAACCTGTACTGACCTTTTTTGGGTCCGGATTGCCAGGGGGTCAAAATTAACCCAAAATTATGCTGAGAGTATAACTTTTTTGCAGTGGGGACACTTCAAATGTTTCTCTGGTCTCCATTTATGAGAGTTTGCTTACCTCTCTTGATTGGGGCCTCCAGACAGTAGATACCTACAGCAATTTTAGCCTCAGTCTCAAGAAAAGGAGTCGGTATTCTTAAAGATGTATGTATAAGTAAATATTAAGCTTCTTCCCCAGAGAGAAACAAAGCTGATTCTAACCATTTTCCTATATACCCAGAACAATTTCCCAAAAATGACAACTAGCCATGTTTCAAAAGCCGCCAAGGGTCAACAAAGACGTCGCCGTAGAGAGAAGAGCGAGAAAGACGCGCCAGTACCAAAGGCAGCCATGAAGAAAACCAAGAAGACAAAACCACGAAAGAAGCTCAATCCCCCTGGAACCAAACTAGTGCCAATTCAAATAAATAGCGATGCTGATGATGATGAACTCCAGCTCCTCAATACGCGCCCAGTCATCGACATCCCAAAGTCAGTTCAAACCAGCACAACTGATCACGAGCTTGAGGAGTTCCAAGAGGAAGAAATTGAAGCCAGAAATCAAGCAAATGATTTGGTTCAATACTTTAACCTTGCGATTGATGATGAGACATCTGACGACGAAAGTGGGGATGATGATCCATTGGAAGAGCTCTGGCCAATATTCTCTGGCTGCCTTTCTTCTAGCGAGAACTCTGTTAAGAAACGTGTGTTGAAATCTGGAAAGAATGGCTATCAAAAACCTCTTTCAAACCCAGATTCCTCCTCTCAAAAACTTCTCCCAGCACCAATCCCAAAACAGACAAAACATGATCGGAAAAAGCGTCAAATCAAAGCCATTGGAGCCAACAATCAGATGTTCAAGAACTATTTCATCCGTCTTGAACCAGTTAAAAACGCAACAGTCAATCCAGCTATCGATCCAGACCTTGAATCAGCTTCTCTACAGGACAGTTTTTTAAATCAGAACCAACCGGTCACTAGCAAGTCTCTCGATTCCCACCAAAAAGAAACAAACGATGAGTCTCTCAATGCGCGCTTTACGTCCATATTGGAAAATCGTCTGTCAGCCATCAAGGCACCAAAGTCTGCCAGCATCTCTGAGAAAGCTTGTGCTGAATGGGAAGAGCTGAACTCAGCGCTAAACACAGCAACCTTATGCTACAAACAAAAAGAGAAGAAAAAAAAAAAAATCAAGTTTCCTCAAGCAATGATGAACAATCTTTATCTTTTTAACAATCTCTGTCTCGAATACACTCTCAATGGAACCAAATCCCCCAGCTCCACTGCTTCACTTAAAGCTGCCCAGTCTGCCATCAAGCAGCTTCCAATGGGAACTGTTCCTCCCAAAAATAGAAGTGGGATCTATCTTTCTCGATTGATTTCAAGGCAAGCTACGCACGTAATCAACAATAAGCACCTCTCCAAAGTGAAGCAAGGAAATTGCAAGACTCATGCTTCATTATTGGATAATGCTGAGCTTCGAAAGACTTTGTTTACTTGGGCAGCGTCTCAAGTTCCGGGTCATGTGAGCTCCAAACTCCCAATCACGACTAATTCTTGATGAATAATACTGATTGTTCAGTATCTCTTGATTTACAGGTTACTCCAATTACATTCCAACAATACGTGATTAATACAATCTTCCCCAAGTTCAACATAGAAAAAAGCATCAGCCGTAAATCTGCAACTCGCTGGATGATAAAGCTTGGATATAGACCTCAAGAGCACCAAAAGACACTCTACTTTGATGGACACAAGCGATCGGATTTCATTGAAGCTCGGAAGAAGTACATTGAAGATTTTGAAAACTATCGAAAGCGGTCAAGAATATATGGTGGCGATAATCTGGATACTGCTTCCCAGGTCGATCCTGAAGTACTAGGCAAAATGAAAGAAACCGTTTTCATTTTTCATGACGAGTCCACCATCCATGCCAAAGAGCGACCGAAGTTGTCTTGGCTGCTTCCTGGGACACAAGAAATCAGATCAAAAAACATTGGCCGGCTAATTCACATCTCCGACTTCATTCTGGAGACCACCGTAAGGTTATAAAGCTTTCGGAAGCTCAATTCCGAGACAACAAACTCGAATCCGATGACGCTGCTACGGTGATTTATCCTGGTTCAACTGGGGATAAATGGTGGGACATGGAGCAGCTTTGCCACCATGTCTCAAAGAAAGCGATACCTATCTTTGAAATACTGCATCCACATTCCCAAGCTGTTTTTATTTTTGACTGCTCCTCTGCACATGGTGCATATTCGAAATCAGCTTTGAGAGTTCAAAATATAAGACAGTAAAGTCTTTGATGAGGATGCACGAGTTAGACACAAGCTACTTAGAGCGGTGACAACGAGAGCACGATGAGACAAACCTTTGATGAGGATGCACGAGTTAGACACAAGCTACTTAGAGCGGTGACAACGAGAGCACAACGAGACAAACCTGAAAGGTGAGTCGAGATGTGAGAAAATGAGTTTGTGAGTTGAAACTTTGAGAATCGTTGAATTCCAATGCACACCTTTGATGAGGATGCACAAGTTAGACACAAGCTACTTAGAGCGGTGACAACGAGAGCACGACGAGACAAACCTAACAAGATACGAGACAAACCTAACAAGATGAGCAGAAGGAAATGAGAACATGAATAAAGTGAAGAGAGCAAGATAGAAACGGACCTGAAAGGTGAGTCGAGATGTGAGCAAATGAGTTTGTGAGTTGAAACTTTGAGAATGGTTAGAGAACCGGAAAACAACAAAGTAGGACCAACGGTGGGCCGCTACGCTACGCTACGCTACGCTACGCTAAATGGCCATTTAGCGTTAGCGTAGCTGCTGTTGCAGCAACCTTTTTTTGTGTAGTGTTAGTTTGCGCTACAGCCCACTACGCTACGCTAACTTTTAGCGGCGCTAACAACACACCTTTTTTTGGGTAGTGTTAGCGCACCACTACAGCCACTACGCTGCGTTACGCTACGCTACAGCGCTGTTAGCGGCAAAAAAGGCCAAAAAACCGCTAAAAAGCGCTGTAGCTTAGTGTAGCGGACGCTTTTTTGCGCCCCATGGGCGTAGTGTTAGTGTGGATGAGTGAAATAAAGCTAACACTACGCTAACAGCTAACACCCACTGGCGCCCTGTGTGCGTAGTGTTAGTGCAAATTTTCAGATTTGCGCTAACACTACGCTACATGTTAGCTTATTTTAGCTACACTACGCTACACTAACGCTACGGTTAGTGTAGCTGGCCCACCGTTGGTAGGACTGGTTTTATAACTATTCAACTAGGTTACAACTGCGGACGAAAAATGCTACTATCACTACTCTATGCAATACAACTGTTATGCATAAATGAGACCGCCTAACACAAAATATGAATCTGAATCACGGCGGAAAACAATCAAGACTACAAGACTCAGTCATTCCAACAGACGATCCCCTCATCCCTGAACATCTTCGTGGTCTTCCCCAGTCATTTTGCTACGATGCTGCACACCCTGACCCAAAACGAGCTGGACAACCTAAAGGAATCCAAACAATCTTGGAAGAGCGCGGTCTTTGGCAGCACTATACTTCTCTACAAATACAAGCAGGCAAACGACCTCTGAAGCTTTGATGTGATACTTGTGTCACCTCCAATATGCAAAAGGATGCTTTGTGCCGTTCAGCCAAGTTAATCCAGCAAGCTGAAGATTCTGGATACTT